GTGTTTTCTAGAGAAGCACTCAGCTATTCTATGTCCAGGCTTGTGGCAGTAAAAACATTCCATTCTCCTGAAAGCTGGCCTTGACATCTCAGGCTCAGGCTTGTTCTGTTTGGACACTAATTCCGTCATTTTCTCCATCAGAGTTTCGATCTTATTCTCCAGGGCCATTAATTTATTTTCATTCTTATCCTTGTCTTCAATGGCCATCACACGACTACACTTTGGTTTTTGTCCCTTCCTTATCCTTTCGGATTCCAGATAGGATTCTTCCTTAAGGGCTACTTCAATGGCCTGGTCCAAGGTATCACAATCCTTGGCATGTATCGCCCTCCGTATATCCTCCTCTAATATGGACTGTTCAAAACTTCGTCGGGCAAGTCGATCCTGAGCAGTACGACTCATCTCTGGATAAGCCAGTGCAGTGAGCCTCCTTATGTCCTGGCCAAGAGTTTGCAGAGTTTCCTTAGGCTTTCGAATCCTGCTGACTAACTCTGCCTCATAAACCTCGGCCTTGCCACCCGGACCAAATCTCTTTTCAAGAGCCAAGAGGAGTTGGTCATAAGTATAACCATGTTCCATTTCTAGAACAATTTCTTGAGCAGGGCCTCTAAGACTCGTGGCAAGAAAATTTCTCTTATCTTCTTCTGACCAATGGTTTAAATCACCACATATCTCAAAATAGGCCCTGTAATCTTGCCAAGGGGTGAATCCATTATATACATCTGGCTTAATCCTACTCTTACTAGATGACCCCAAGTTCTCCGATCCAAATTTATCACACAGTTTAGAGCACATCTGGATTAATTCTGTGGTTAAATTGGACTCTGAACTTCTATTTACTGGTTCCTCTTTATGAGCTGCTGAGCTTGTTCCAAGACTAGAGGCCAACCCTAAGGAAGAAGGCTTAAAGTTCTCCCTCACTCCCTCCTGATTCAATAGACATGGTTTGGAAGTAGTTGTTGGTATATTTCCGCGACCACCTGCACCCGGATCCTCATCCTCTAAGTTTTTAAGTCTCGGGTTTACGGCATCTGTACTGGAGTTGACTTTCCATTTGCTGGGCTTTATATGAATTCTCTCCTGCCTTTTCAAACTACATGGCTTCCTTGAACTCGCAGGCAAGGGATCAGGGTCAAAAGCAGGTTCAGACAATGGCTGAAACGGACCGGCATGATTCATCGACCCTATCTCAGGTTGCATACTACTACTGTGTAGTTTTTCCACGATGGACGTCTCTATGGTCTGTTGAAAGTTTTTCATTTGTGTTTGCACTTCCTGTCTGTTGAATTCCACTCTCTGTGCAATCCTATTAATATTGTAGAGCTGAGCTTGTTGGGACTCCACTACTGTTTCTGCTAAACGTTGCATTTGTTTTTTGCTGGTTTATCATTGTCTCACTTAACAGTTCAATTTTGGACTTAAGCTTACACTCCCTTATCCTTGAGTCAGGTTCCCTCCTAATTTCCTCACCCGGTCCTCCGAAGGACCTATCAGCTAAAGTGGAAGTGAGTGGGAACCTCTGTCTCCTTGGGGGTTCTCGTCTAGCCCCAGGTATCTGGTCGAATGGGGTTTTAGCATCTGTGAGGACAGCTCCGGTCAAATATCCAGAACTCAGTTGACCAGGTATCCACATTTTTTCAGTATCAGAATCAGAAGTGTCAACGCTTGTGCCAGGATAAGGAAATGCCCATTTCTTGGACCCTTTCTTTTTATCAATATTTTTCACATCTTGAACAGTCTCATCACCTGCTCCTGGATTATCTATATCCATTTTATCAGTCTTCAGAAAAACTGTTTTCTCTAGCTCACTATCTTCCCTAAGATTCATTGACACTCGAGGTGGAAGATCCGTCCTTTGTTCCATATTGTTATGTTGTATCACAAAGTCTGCAGTCACAATATCCCACCGCTGCCACCAGTGTAACAAACTAGCCGATTTGTGGTAGTGTGAGGGCTAGGTTACTTTGGGATTTCCTGGTACACGTTAAATGTACTTGTGTTTTACAGCAATTACAACACGACAAACAATATAGATTTATTTCACATATATTATAACATTAATTATACACAAATAAATTCAAAATGTCCAAATAAACTTGTTGTTGTTAATTATATACGTCCACTCTCTGGTACAATAATAGTTCAAAGTAGAATTCTATTCAAAGTTCACAGTGGCCAAACTGAATCCCAATGATGACTGTAATGCTGGCCTAGGTGCAAGGGTTACTTGAGGTTCCTGGTTAGTAGTGTCCCTTTCAGTCCTCATACACACACGGATGCATATAATCGCGATCAAACAGGTCACTATGAATAAAACACTGACTAGGACCAAGGCGAAGAAAGGAACATCCAATTCCATGAATTAGATCTATGAAGGCTGGACACCACTTCTGTAAGCTCTATGCTGGGGATAGCTTCACCCTCTTGAAGTGCTGTCCAGTCCTGTAGATTCCCACGCAGCAAATCGACTACTTCTTCAGATAGCAGAAAACTTCTAAGTTTTGTAGATCCAAAATATCAGCTAAGTTTTGCAGTTAGCAAAAACGACTAAGTTTTGTAGTTCCAAAAATTCCTCTAATAAGCCAATAAATTCATCCAGGTTGTCACATCAATGGCTTATAATCATCGATGGCTACTTCATCAGGCTAAGAGAAGTCAATAGTCAATAGTCAATGGTCAGTCATCCCATGTAGCAGATCGACTATGTTCTTCAGATAGCAGAAAACTTCTAAGTTTTGTAGATCCAAAATATCAGCTAAGTTTTGCAGTTAGCAAAAACGACTAAGTTTTGTAGTTCCAAAAATTCCTCTAATAAGCCAATAAATTCATCCAGGTTGTCACATCGATGGCTTATAATCATCAATGGCTACTTCATCAGGCTAAGAGAAGTCAATAGTCAATAGTCAATGGTCAGTCATCCCATGTAGCAGATCGACTATGTTCTTCAGATAGCAGAAAACTTCTAAGTTTTGTAGATCCAAAAAATCAGCTAAGTTTTGCAGTTAGCAAAAACGACTAAGTTTTGTAGTTCCAAAAATTCCTCTAATAAGCCAATAAATTCATCCAGGTTGTCACATAAATGACTTATAATCATCAATGGCTACTTCATCAGGCTAAGAGAAGTCAATAGTCAATGGTCAGTCATCCCATGTAGCAGATCGACTATGTTCTTCAGATAGCAGAAAACTTCTAAGTTTTGTAGATCGAAAAAATCAGCTAAGTTTTGCAGTTAGCAAAAATGACTAAGTTTTGTAGTTCCAAAAATTCCTCTAATAAGCCAATAAATTCATCCAGGTTGTCACATCAATGGCTTATAATCATCAATGGCTACTTCATCAGGCTAAGAGAAGTCAATAGTCAATAGTCAATGGTCAGTCATCCCATGTAGCAGATCGACTATGTTCTTCAGATAGCAGAAAACTTCTAAGTTTTGTAGATCCAAAAAATCAGCTAAGTTTTGCAGTTAGCAAAAACGACTAAGTTTTGTAGTTCCAAAAATTCCTCTAATAAGCCAATAAATTCATCCAGGTTGTCACATCAATGGCTTATAATCATCAATGGCTACTTCATCAGGCTAAGAGAAGTCAATAGTCAATAGTCAATGGTCAGTCATCCCATGTAGCAGATCGACTATGTTCTTCAGATAGCAGAAAACTTCTAAGTTTTGTAGATCGAAAAAATCAGCTAAGTTTTGCAGTTAGCAAAAATGACTAAGTTTTGTAGTTCCAGAAAACTGCCTAAGTTTTGTAGTTCCAAAAATCCCGTAAATCAGAGCCACATAGTCCCGTTCGTCAAAAGTCAATGTGCTATCTGCTCCAACATCAGTGGCTTATAATCATCTAGGACTATCGGGCTAATAGTCAGCGAAAAACTTCCTAAGTTTTGTAGTTCCAGAAAACTTCCTAAGTTTTGTAGTTCCAATTGCTTCCCTCAATAAGCCAGTTTATTCATCTAGATTCCAACATCAGTGGCTTATAATCATCTAAGACTATTCCCTCGGGCTAATAGTCAGCGAAAAACTTCCTAAGTTTTGTAGTTCCAAGAATCATCTAAGTTTTGCAGTTAGCAAAAACGACAAAGTTTTGTAGTTCCAAAACTCCCGAATATCAGAGCCACATAGTCCCGTTCGTCAAAGGTCAGTGTGTCAGAAGCCCCTGAGTCACGTCTGCCGCTGTATTTATACCCCAACATGTATGTAACATGTGTTTTGCACACGAAACTATCTGCCTAACCAATCATAGCTCACGAGCGGCTGATGCAATACCTGGCCAGTCACTGGAATCCCAGGCAGGATATCACTAGTGCATAATTAATTAATATGATGCAATGATGACATAACTTTTGCAAAAAATTAGCTTCACCTAACAATCACGATCTCTGTTTTTTAACACAGAACAAACATATATCTTGTAATTAACTAGCTAGATTAAGATATAAACTAGATAAATATAACAAAAACCAATCATCATTGGCTCTAATTATGGCGGAATTGCAAGGAAAAACGAGTTATTGAATGTAGGTCAACAGAGTTCTCTAATAGGAGGTGAGAAAATGCACACGAACGAAAGCAAAATAAATCTCCCAGAAAAGAGTAGTTTACACTATTCCCAGTACACCTAAAGAGTTCTATTCATAAATATAACTATATAAGCTCTCAATTGTGACTGGGAAACACTTTCCTACTGTCAAAACTGTCTAAAGTGCTAAAAACGGCACTGGACTCCAAAAATAAAATTTTGAAAAATGAAAAATTCGTTACATATGAGATCTGAGATGAATCATTGGATCATCATCATCATAAAATCTAGATCTACATATTAGGTCTAGATCAAGCTATGTTCACAGAGAAGTAATTTATATTGTTTTACTAGACTATTACATTCGATAGCTAGGCTAGTACTTCAATAGTATAGACTAGATCTACAAGACTCGTGCTTTTTGAGTTTTCCGTGTGGCTATTTTGAACACAATGGTCATGATATATTGATAAAGATACCAACCAGCAAATAGGACGAGGGCCGTATAAATACCCAGATAAATCCAGAACCATTCATCGTGTATCGAAAGTTGTTTCTCGGGTTTATTGTACTGTGTACCGTTGCATAATATAGATTCTTCGTCTAGAAACCTACAGCTCAGATTCATTTTGTGGATGCACAACGACCTTGAACTACTTAGAAAAGACTTGGTCTGGAGATGAACATTTTGGTACTGGTACAACTCCAATATTGATTTCCGATTCTTTACTTGCCGCTATCACTGTAAGCATATTAGTTATCAACCAACGTCAAACTATAGTCTAGCTACAAGTCATTTGGAGGCCCTAATAATACTTCCCCACGATGTTTTGTATATTCTATATGCCCATTGATATTATATGAATTATCCATGAGAGGTGCATGTTACAGGAACTTGAATTAACTGACATCTATCGGCCAACCTGGAAGACATAGTATATATTCTACGACTACTAGTAATATAATACATGGTCTGTCTTTCAGGTTGGCCAATAGAATCCTATTGATTAAGGCTACTGTGATGTCTGTCTATTCAAACAGTATAATATTAGAACTAATTGAGATATTAATATATTACCCTTTATGATGTAATTCTGCAAATTTAAAAGATAGCTATCATAAGTATATGTACATTTCACATTTCAAGTAAATCATTAATTATATAGTCCAGGGGGTCTTGACTCTTGATTGTGCTTTCCTATTGCAAAATCCCTTTTTAATATACTCTGGAGATGACTGTTTAACTTCTACATTGACACTATATAAAAAGAAGGAACAGTAATGTGTTTGTTAATGTGATCTTGAGGCAAGATAGGTGCATATCCTTCAAAAATCAATTTGTCAAAAATACTCAAACCTTCCATAGCCCAGGTGTAGTGGCTGAAACTTTACAGCTCAGTTGGTAGAGCATCATTGACATGGTACTACAATAAGTTGTAATTAATATGAGCTCATATGGCATAGTACGGATATGATAAAGATTGGAAAATGTTTAAAAACACATCCAAGAATAGTTACTAGTCTACGTGTATACCAGTCAAAATGAAAACAAACTCAACTATCCCAAATCATAATCTAATAATCATTCAGAATCATTCAGCCTTGTTAGAAAATTACTATTTTTGGAGAAAGATATTGAAACTTAACATTTTTAGTCATCATATTTTGGGACCCATTTTTTCTGACCTGAACCCAGATTTTTTAAACTGTGGTGTCTCAGGGACCCACTTTTTTCAGACCCTAATGAAAACACTGAGAGTGGTAGATTAAAGTGAGCAGTGTAGCAAGAATGGGTGATCTTCCTAAAAATTTTCAGCTTAGGGAGAATACATAATATGTTTAGTTCTGCATCATTAGTCAATCAACATATACTATGTATGTCACATATTTTATTCTGTGACTGTGAATTAAATCTCTAGCATCAATTCATATATACAAAATAAATGATGCAGGTGATTTCAATTACCCACTGAAACTAAAATAATATAGAATATTGTTGGTCGCATGGCTTGAAAAGATGCACGAAAAGCGTAATAAATGTCTTGTCATGATAATGATCAATTCCCAGAGCAAACTCCATGGGAAACGGAAAGGGGGTGCAAAAGAGTTTTACCAGGTTAAAAGTCAATTCCAGGGCAAACTCTCTGAGAATGGGGAGGGTGACAGTAAAGGTTAGAAAAGCGTAGGACGTGTCCTAACATGCAAGCCACTCCATCTGACAGGACAAATTACAGATATATACAAGTTTCCAAATAGCCCTTTAATCACCAACCAATCCAATGAAACAATGTTACAATCAAGGGTTAAAATCAACACATGTACATTAATAAAAGGGCATTTATGTTTACTAATAAGTTTATTGCTCAAGTCTAGATACATTTCTTATTCAGAATTCTATAGCTTATTTGCATGTCATGGGGGAGTCATTTTTACTTCCACCAATGAGGACCTCAGCTTATTTATCACCCAAAAAATGAAATTACCTGGCCTAACTGTCTGTTAAACTGCTTCATAATAACCAGATGAATCTAAAAATAAGAAATCTAATAACTATTATGAAATAATATATGGAAAATATATAATCACATCGCTCACGAATGACCATGCAAATGACATTTGAATATTTATAATTATTTAATTTGTAGGACAACAAGCCTGTGCCATCTTATAATTTGAGGTCTATCAATTATGTTGTTTTTTAAGAATTATCATGGCTGACAAGCATCAATATATAAACCTTACAGTCTTTAGAAGCTAATTCACATGCAATCCAAGATAAACAAATGTCATTCGTGTGCAATATGAACCTCAGATATTATGACCCACCTATATGTATTTAAAGCAATAGGTGGGCCAAGACTTGAATATGCAGTGACATTATATTTGGTCACCATACCAGATGGATGACATTGAAACCCTAGAAAAGGTGCAGAATGAAACATGTTAACTTATGAATGTACTATACAATTTACCAGTGGATGAATCATTAACCAAAGCTGATACAAGAAGAACTAGAGGTCATAGTATGAAGTTGGCAAAACACCACTCGAGGACAGTTAAGAGTTGTACTTCAATTCAAAATAAACCTAGACAAGCACCATACATGTTAAGACCACCCAAAAAGATGTGACTATAAGCACTATGATGTCCTCTAATGATGTACAACAAACCAATATCCATAAAATGCCAGCAAGGTACCCCATGTAAATTTACACCCCCCCCCCCCTCTCAAAGCACACTATCTCAGTCATGTACATGTTAATTGCCCAAATGACTTTTTGGTCAATGTCGTCATTTTAAAACCATATCGAGATTTTAGCATCAAATGAGTGGAACGACCTAATTTAAAATATAGGAATTTTCCCCCAAAATAGTTTTTTCTGGGGAAAAAAAATCTTCTTGTTCCTTTGCAGTGTTCCTAATAGGATCATCTAGGACCAATCTGGCACTATTATGGTGATTTGGTTACATATATTTCTAAAGTACATAGTGCCTGTCTTTACAAGTGGACATTTCAGTTTTACCTTAGGGATTAAATCCTGAACAACCTTGACCTCGGTAGAATTGTTATACCTGTTTTGCCATTTCTCTAAAGCATTACATTTGATGTTATTACTGTATAAGCTACAGACTTGGATATTTTACAGTAAATTAGAGATTTGACAGCCATGGCTGTCAGCAACTGTATTCCACTCTGTCCCCTGGGACCCAATATTCTTCTAAGCTTTTGTGGTGATAGAAGTTTGCAGGCTTTCCTTGTGTCTGTTAAGTCATCTGTGATGTTTTTGCTCTTGGTAGTAATAAATGATGATGCAGTTATTGCTCTGCTGGCAGTCAGACATGAGCTAAATGTTGCTGCCAGTTTTTATGATTGTCAGGTACCGCAATCTTTATTGCTACCACTTCTCCATCATAGTAGTTATTTCCTAGGAGGAAAACAGGTTACTCAAGGCATAAAGGGGTAAATTTGAGTCCGCCAACTTAAACATCTGCTGCAGCAATTGATCGCCACTTTTTGCAGAGTTGACCTTTGTTAGTATCTCCATCCGTTCTAACCCTGACCTAGTGGATCATTTTAACATTTATTATTTTATATTCAACTCTGTCTTATATTGATATACCATTGAGATTCAGCAATGGTGTATCCATGACGTCACATTATGTTAATGATCAAATGACGTGAAAATCTCGATATGCGTAGAATTACAGAGTTAAATTTGCTCCCTGGATAAACGTTAGATAGCTTGTCTTACCCTCAAACAAAGATCTTTGCACTGGTATACCTACTTTCATGAGATAATAGACGTGAATGGGGAAAAAATTCTCTAAAATCTGTCTATAGTCAAAACGTCGTGAAAAGACCGTTCATCATTCGTGCACAACTTTTAGTGGAATGATTCCAAGCAAGCTGGGAATTTGAAGTACTGTGTACTTCGACGTAATTATTTTAAACATCGCTTGTACTCAGGTAGGCTCATATATTGATGCATAAATGTATATTACATGTTACTTTTAGAATCTAAGTGCATTTTCACAGGTGCTCCCTGGGTAATTATAGAGTGTTTACCCAGGGAGAAAGTATTTACTTAGGGAGACCGTATCTGTTGCAAGACTAACGCCTGGCGTAACCGTCATCATGTTATTCAGTGTTTTTTAAGTAGCGCAAGGATCCTGCCATGACCGTGGTAATGTTATCGTGAAAGCCTGGTATAACCGCGACGATGCTGTATTATATTGCAATGCCTGCCATGACCGTGATAATGTAATATAGTTCTACAAGGCTCGGTATGACCGTGACAATGTAATATAGTACTGCAAGGCGCTGGCATGACCGTGACAATGTAATATAGTATTGCAAGTTCAGGTATGAGAGTGGTAATGTAGAAATTTACGATTAGGACTGCTATAACCGTGACAATGTGTATTGCAAGGCCTGGCATGACCGTGGCAATGTAATATAGTACTGCAAGGCCTGACATGGCCGTGACAATGTAATATAGTATTGCAAGGCTTGGTATGACCGCAGTGGCAATGTGATATAATATTCCAAGTTCGGGTATGAGAGTGGTAATATAGAAATTTATGATTTGCTATAAGTGACCATGACAATGTGTTTTTGAAAACCTGGCATGACCGTGGCAATGTATTATGGGATCGCAAAGCCTGGTATGACCGTGACAATGTAATATAGTATTGCAAGGCCAGGTATGAGGGTGGTAATGTAGAAATTTAGGCTTAGTCCTACTATGACCGTTATAATGTATTGCAATGACTAGTAAATATGTATGACATAATGCCAGGAATATCCTTAACAATTTTATGTGATCCGCATTTCAACTAAACAGTTTAATACTATGATCATGGTGTTTAACTACCTTAATCATGTCAAAATCAAAATTACTACTATTCATTAATATTCACATTCGCTTAATAAACCACAATAAAGGCTACGGTCGCGCCAGGCTTCCACGATAACACTTCCAGGGTCATGACAGGCCTTGCAATATAATACAGCATTGTCACGGTTATACCAGGCTTACACAATAACACTACCGCGGTCATGGCAGGATCCTTGCGCTACTTAAAAACACTTATTAACATTGTGACGGTTGTGGCAGGCGTAAGTCTTGCAATAGATAGCATGTGTACTTAGGGTGCATGTTGGGAAATTTTCTGCATTCCTCAATTTAGTCACATGTAACCAAACCCGTCTGGCCCAGTTATCTACTCCCGACCTACGATATCGAGAGTAGATAACTGGGCCAGACGGGTTTGGTGCATGTTATTTTTCAAACAAGAATCACTCCTTCCCCATATTATCTACATCTTCCAGTTTTGCACAAAGAGTGCACGTATGTGGAAGCCCAACTGTTCTGGGCTAGAATCCAAACACATATTCTCAGTATAAGTTCATATGGTGAAAATAACGAAAATATAAAATGTTACCGTGTGTCTACTTAGCAGTTTGTTCTATGTTATCCCTCCTACTAGGTTACATTGTGGAACGCATACTCCCAACAGGGACTGGATCTGGCTCCCGATCTGTGGTTGAAAAATATTTAAAAGCAATTCAGGTTCGAACCACATTTAGATTCAATTTCAAACGGGCATTTACGACGAAGTCTAACAAAGTTCCGTATTAGTAACCACAAATTAAAAATAGAAATGGGTAGATACGAACGCCCAAAATTAAAGATCGATGAGGTTTGCAATTTAATAGAAAACGAAAAACACATAATGCGTTCATGTAAAAAATACAGTATATATAGAAAGCAAATGCTCGATAAACTTGAATCATACGGCAAACAAATTAAACACCTTTTTAACATAGAGGACGATTCCCCTTTTTTCCAATATATTGTATGTCTTGTGAAAATAAAGAAATTGTAATTGTAGCAAAATTTATTCATAAATGTAATATAACATAGAAGGGTGTGATATATGACATAAACAATGGACGCGTATCACAATCATCATTCATGTGCTCATCCATGATACATATATATTTGTTCATTTATTTACTAATTCATTTATTATTCAAGCTGAAAAGTAGAGGTCTTGGGTTCAAACCCAGGTCACAGCACTTCTTGTGATTTGTCTTTGACCTATGACTGCTGACCTATACCGGCGATTACTAGAGTGCTGCTAACTCGATAAAAGGCTGGCGCTGGCTAGAATTGTCTATGGTTCTAGCCAGGATAAAGATACCAGTTCTTCAACTCGACAATGGGAAGAACTGCTCTACCTAAGTGACTAATATGTCATGATATGACATCTAAAGAGTCGATAAAAGATATATATATATATATACTGTTTTCTGTTGTATTGATATATTGTAAAATCAGTGTTTACTTTGTGTACATTTAACCCTTTATGGGTATGCATGTGTAATAAAGTTCATAAATCATGATGCAAGACTCAACAACAAGCAGGAAACTAGAAACATTTTGTTCCCCATTCAGCAAATAATTTTTTTTACTGCTTAGTGAACAGAAACATTTAGTTCTACAAGTATGAGATTAACATGACCTTTTGATATTTCAAGGAAATTTGTTTGAAAAGTGATAGCCGGCAATGGAATTTTGTTGATTTCTTTGAAAAACTTAATTGTTATATCATATATCGAAGTTTTCAAAACAATAAAAAATATGTATAAATAAGGCTTACAGATTCACTATTCCACCTGGTTACACTAACATATGTTTCATATAAAAAATGTCATACAATTATATTTGAAATACAAATACTATTTGAACTTAGGATGGGACAAAACCATGATGTTACTTTATCACCTCGAAGTACACATCATACATTGTCTAATCACAAGTTCAAATAATATTTGTGTTTCAAATATTAATTGTATGACATCCGAAACAAATTTTAATGCAACTAGGGGGAATTGGATCAGCAAGCCTTACTATTCGGTAAAGATTAAAAAGTGGATTGGATCGAGTGGATTGGATTCATGTAAAAGGTGGATTGGATTGGGAATCTTCAAAATATGGATTTTCCATAAAAAATTCTCTTGATCTCCCTCTAAGAAGATTGATGCTCTCATCACTACTCTAATCTCAAATAATAGATGTAATATTATCTTGCTTGGATGGGCTAGAAGGGTGACCTGGTACCTGTTTTCTGATGCACAATCTTAATTTCATTCCGAGGGTAATTTTAGACTTTTCATAAATCATAAGCCAGACTGGTTTGAAAATCTGTTTTCAATCCAAACTGAACATAGCAGAAAAATGTTTTGCGAACAATCACACATCAACTTGAATGACAGCTTTTATCTATAGATTTATTTTTATTATGTCTTACAAAAGTTGATTTACAAGGGAAAGCAGTAAAATACACTGAGTATCCATGAACTAATTGGAGTATGTATTTGTCGTTGCTTTGTTCTGATTTCTCAAGGAGACCTGTAATACTGTTGAGGGAAATTGCTTAGAGGGAGGTAAACAGAAAAAAGCTTATAAGAAATTCCATATTTTGAAGATTCCCGATCCAATCCATCTTTTACATGAATCCAATCCACTCGATCCAATCCACCTTTTAATCTCTACCTACTATTCATACATATTTTTTCTGTTCTATATAATATTCAACTGGTGAATTTCATGTTTTTTATGTCTGACAATGTGGTAAGGCATGACAGTTTTACACTCAACTCTAAATAAATACATCTGCCTGAGGCTACTGTTGCATGGATATGACCCACACTGCAAGGTTGCATGTTAATCCTTCATTTATACTAGTATCCCCAGCAATTCGATAACAATTTCGTTAATTGCCAAACGTTTTGTAAATGGCCAATTCAAAACTACAATTCTTAAACCGATCAGAATAGTAACATACCTTCTTGATTATAAAAAATGAACATTTAACGCAAAAAAGTGGAATCAATAAATGATATGTCTTTCTAGTGTCAAGTATCTTTGGCATTTTACGGAGGGAAACTGGTTCCAAATGATCCAGAGTTCCCACTGATGAATGTATTGTAAGGAAGTTAAACCCAGTCTCTGACCACAAGAAAATTCAGGTTCATAAATTAAGTCGGAAATTTGGTTTAACTTGTTGAACAAGGCCTACTCTAGGTCATATAAATGACTGGCCCCCTCATTTTAAAAACAGATACTGTATGCAGCCCTGTCAACCTAAGGGCACCTGAATTGTGTGACTAAATTCTTTAACAGTTGATGAAAACCAAAGGATGTTAGCACTAGACTTAAATAAATTCATAAAAAGTACCAATTCCCAAAGAGGTTTAATTTTGCTAAAGGAAAATAATGATGTTATAATATTTAATATTTCATTGTGAAAAGGAAAAATAGCTAAAAATTCCTTTGGGACAGCGCAACAGCAAAATTGCAATGCTTTGTGAATGAGGCCTCAGATCTGCTTCCTTAATCTGCCAATAATTAATTTAACTTAATTTTGCCAATAAACCTATTCAATTTGGGTTTCAATTAGGTAAAAAGAATCCTAAACTTCATAAAAAAAACAATAGTATAGTTTCCAATCCATATAGCTTTTGAAATCTTTACTAAATCTCGTTTTTTGTGGGATTTTAAGAGACCTTCATATTAGAATGACTTACTACTAATGACTTAGTAGTCAATGACTTACTTATTTAGTAATGACTTACTACTAATGACTTACATTACATGGCATATTTGAATTCAGTGAAATGTTTTCTCCTATAATAGCTTTGATTTACACAGTTATGTAATTTGAATAATTTTCTATGATTTATTTAAAAAAACTTGGGCCAAATGTCCATAGATGCAATGCTAAAATTCTTTAAATCCGTGGATTATTTGTATTTCAATCAACATTTGCATGCATGTTTAATCACAACATGTACCTAAAAAGGGTCATCATGTGGTATATCATTCAAGTTTTATACAGATTCAACTAACACACTTTGATAAATCATGAAAAGCCACTTTTCCAAGATTTTAGCATGTAAGTGAAAGCTGAATAAAATATGGCAGCACTTGATTTCATTGATTTTTCTGCTATTTAGAAACTATCCTATTGAGTCATAAGTTCAATTTCAGATATATTTATAACTCATTTCCTACATTGTTAACATCTTTCAGTTATGCACAGCTTTATATGAATACTGCTCAATATAAATACTTTTCCCCCAACTTTTTCTCATCCCAATTTTGATATCACCTAATCTTAAAACTTCTGGCATTCAGATTGGACAGATTTTACGATACAGGCTAGTAATAAATATGCAATATGGCAAAATGATTTTTAATATTTATTATTTAGGAGCTTAGGAAAGGTCACTGAATAGAATCTTTTTTGAATTTTTCTGAAAATGTGCCTAATATATTGCTCTAAATAATAGTACAATAACGTCATTTCGAAGGGCAATATAGTCTATATTGCCTGCAGAAATGACGTTATTAGTATTATTACCACCGTTAATGACCAGGACTGAAACAGCAAGAAAATTTTACGCACTGAACGATATCTAATTTCCCGGGGAAAATTGCAGGTTGTTAAATGCATTCTTGACCAGCTATATTGACCGCCACTATGACGTCACATATTGCTCAGGTCGATATAGTGAAATGAATGCCTTCTAAACTAGCACTTAAACCCCTAGAAAAAATGTGATATCATTCGTAGAAAAAGAAAAAAATGAAAAAATTGAATTGAAAGGCGATCTATTTTCCTTTTTCATATTTTTATTCATATTTTTATGACCGCCATTCTTGTTTCAGACAATTTTCTAAAATTTCAAAGATTGTATCAGTTAGAGCAATATGTTTGGTACATTTTCAGAAAAATTCAAAAGATTCTCCTTTCCTGAGGGGCTACTTTAGCTATTTTCAGTGGGCTGAAAATGTTACTTCATCATGTTTAGGGTTATTCTGACCATGGACATTGTGATCTTGGCCCTGTCAATGATATGCGGAACTATTTGAATTGACTGGAGGTCAACACATAACACTGTTATCTTTGTTCAAAAAATGTCTAAAAATACCACATTTTTTGTCACTTCCTGTTTTGTTATTTCCTGTTAAGTAGCATTGCACCTTAATTCACTTTCAGTGAATGTAGATTGTAGATCATATATCATAATTTGAAGATTTTATTTTATTAATATGTTTCAGGTGTTGAGATGAGGTAAAGACTGAAAAAGATGTCATATCTGGAACTCTTGGAACAACTATACCTATCATCTCAAGACATATCAGACATATTTCCAGACATTTATCAAACTGCCGACCTATTTCCAGACATTTATGAATCTGTAGACCTATTTCAAGACATAAACCAAACCCTGGAGCTATTTCTAGACACAAAAAATCAAGCCTGGGAGGAACTATTTAGACACACACTAAAACTGAAAGTCAGATCACCTGGAAGAACAAGAAGATCACCAAAGATAAATGTACTAAATCCATATTTAGCATCTGAAATTGAATCATTTCCAAAAAGAATAATTGAACAGTTTGGAGATAAAGTTAAGGACAAGCAACAAAATACAAAGTTGAAAATCAGAACTGAGCAGTTGGAAGATAAAGTTCCATACCAAAGACCATTGCTTTTTAAATTATTTTTTTAATTTTTTTGATTTTTTTAAGTAAACAGTAACCATTGATCGTATAAGATTAGCAGTAAATAAGATAGGAATACTCGAGATTCTTAAGATACATGAACTGCATAGGATTAAGTTTAAGATACTTTTACTGAAACTTTATTACAATTACTACATCAACATTAATGATGTCGGCTTGAATGGGTTTATATGTGGATTGAATTGAAAACAAAGAAGAAGAAATCTGTGTTTTCAGTTGAAGAAAACAGACGTCGGAACTCAAAACCCAATCATAAAGACAGTGGTCATCGATAACTCATAATCCACTTTGACTTATTATATCACGGACCTGAAAAAGTCTGTGATTATATGTACATATAAGGATACAACTTTATAAATATTATTTGCTGTTCAATTGCACAAACAAACTTTCTACAACACTTATAATAAGCATATATAACAGAAACACATTCAACAGCTTAAATATTACATAATCAACAGCAGACTGCTTGGTGAAATATTACATCATATTCCAAACTGTTATACTGTATACTGTGGTATAAACTATTGAAACTTGTCAGTTGAACTAACTGAACCATTATGCCAAGGAATACAGGACCCCTAGATATTTTGTTTATAAGAGATTCAAATGGAGGCACAAAGCACAATGACCAGATGCGAAGTCAAATGTTTAGGCTTGCATCATACACCAAATGGCCTAAGTGGGCCCATGCAAGACCAGTTCAGCTAGCTGAGGCTGGCCTGTACTTTACTGGCACGTATGATGAAGTCAAATGTTTTGCTTGTGATGCCAAATTCAAACAATGGTCTGAAATCAATGACCCAATGAGTGAACATAGGAAAACAAGCCCAAACTGTCCATTTGTCAAAGATAAGCTCCAATCAGATGACATACCCCTTGTGGCTGATGTGGATGACATTCAAGAAATCAATGGATTTATTGAAGAGGCAGCCCAGATTCAAGTAGAAGGCCCTCCAGATGTCCCTATGGATGATACAGATGGCACTCCTGAACGTAGAGCCCAGATGGAGGCACAGCTTAAAGAAATTGAAGAACGTCAAAATAGAGCAAGATATGGAACTGATGAGGCTGATGAGGCTTTGAGACAATCTATTGAAGATGACCAACGTAGACGGGAAAAACTGAAAAGTGAGGCAGAGAGATTAAAAACTTTCACTGGAAAATGGCCAAAACCTCAGATTATCCCAGAGAATGCTCTGGCTGCTAATGGATTTTACTACATTGGACCAGATGATCGGGTGGAATGCATATTTTGTGGCGGAGTCCTTAAAGACTGGGTAGATGGAGACACTGTACCTGGAGAACATAGACGATTTTTCCCAACATGTAATTTTAACTTGGGTAATTATGTGGGGAACATACCCATTGAGGACCCAAATCCTTTGGCTAACACAAGAGCTGCTACTGACTTACAAACAGCAGAAGTGGTCAGCTCAGCCCAAGGCCAAGATCGAAGATCTGGCCGTGATGTCACTGGAAGGGTACCTTTCAATGAGGAGCAACTTGGGATAGTTAAACATGTCATGAAGTACCCAAAATATGCTCTCGAAAGTAAGCGACTAGGTACCTTCACTAACTGGCCCACAAGTCATCATATCAAACCTGTTGACCTTGCAGAAGCTGGCTTCTTCTATCAGGGTAAGTTAAACATTTTAATTTGTAGTCTTGCATGAAGTCAGTGGGTCAGTATATCCAATTTTATTACTAACTTGTGTGTCTGAAAAATAATGTGGGACAAAGATTTGGGGATATAAAAATTTTCATTTGCGTTGAATGACATGTTACAACTAGAAATGGATGGATTGAAAAATTGCAAACATTAAATTATTTTTCTTTCTGAAGATCGAACTTACATCCAGGCATTTTAAAACTTCCAAAGAACAAAAAAATGATTGGCATGATAGAACATCTTGTCAAAGTATTTTAAGATAAGCAAATCATCATTGCCAAATATATGAAGCTTGTACTTCACTGATGTTTTTTTTTATTTAATCCTGACATAACTCATAGAGCCCTCCAGCCCTGTAATTATCAATTGTTTCATGTTATAGAAAAATGGGCTATTTAGACTTAATGAAGATACTTAGTGGTTATCTTGACCTGAGAAAACAACAACTGTATCATTCTTCATTCATAATCAAATTGTCTACTAACTATTTACAAATAATTCTGTTAATCATAGATGGAATACTTACATTTCCTTTCTGGTGACCAATGTTTCTATATAGTCCATCATTTAATCTCTGTTATATAAGACTCACTCTAAAATAGTGAAATGTGTATTGTAATATCCTTATTGGAAGATCTCATAATAATTACTTCATTTGTCTAAAAGTTTGTGAAATATCCTGCTTCCAACTTATCATTAAATATAATATTTCCTATTACGTTTGTTGCAATAGTAGCCATAGCGTAGATTTGTAGAGGCAAGATGACCTTCAAAACACTCGTATCATCACGTTATGTCTACATTAGTAATATAAACAAAAATGTGGAGCACTATTGGTTGCTTGTACTGTGATGTCTACATAGTTCCGCCTACTAAATTGTTTTCATTGATAAATCTTTGTGTGTATTGGTTGCAGTTGATCATGTGACATGCAACTCTTTTATTAATAGATCGCAAGCTCATCTTGCATTTCATCACATCTATTTATAAACACCTTATAACCAAACTATAAACAATAGAATGGTTTCATATGAAACCATATTGTTTCATATTAATGATAAGTACATTGAAAAGGTAAGTTTCGTGAAATAGGATTTTTTCACTTAACGTCATCAGTATTGCCATCTATAATTACATGCACAACATTTCATCTCATGAAAATGTTCCCAGATAGTTTGATTATGATCTAGATTAATAGATGGTGCTATATCTTGGGAGATTAATCCAGCTCTAGACAGATAGTTCCATATTAATACTGATGATTAAACTTATAAAGATGGCAGTATACTCAATTCTTCGCCATCTGTTGACAGTCCATTTATATGGTATAAAATAACTCCATTCAGAAAAATTGGAAAAGCCTAAACACATAAAAATTAGAAAACAAGAATGCCAATGATCTTTAATAAAAAGAAGGAATGTCTATGATCTGTCAGTCTCAATGATGCCATTCTCTCCCAAGATCAGATCTCCCAGTGTTTGTACACATACATACACTTCAAAGTTGACATCAATTGTTTCATAATGGTTCTTCTACTTACCTGGCCAGATATGCAGTCTCCATTCTTATTTAATGTTACTCCATTCTTCTTGATCTTGTTTTACTCCATGTTTTCCCTCATCCAAAAATGTTTTTCCTCTTTGCTTTCTGTTTGATATTCTAACTCTACACAGTGCTATATATCCTTCATTATTGTAACATTTATTTAAGCCACTTACTTGCATTCATACTTTTTGACTGCTTAATGAATACACTATCTCAGGAGTCTGTTCATGTATTACATTTACGTGCTGCACTTCCCGCCTTTGGTAAGGTTATGTTCTTTGTTCTTGAATACAACTTCCTATTGGATAAATACTTACCATTCAGCGTTGAGCATTCTAATTATATTAGGCTATAATAAATCAATATATGAGGAATCATGAAAAGCCTGTAATCTGTTTAATTGTACTGTCATCAATTTTGTGAATTTGTCACTAACTTTTTAATGATCATTTGTGAAATTTAATATGAAAAAAAACAGAATAACAAGCTGAATTGATAATTGATGAAGATTTAGATAGGTAATATCCTTTGTGAATTGCTAAATTAGATTAGGTGCCAAATTAAAACAATTACAGTGATCTCCCCAGCATTACACCCCCAAAATGCAATCTGATTTTCGACGCCGTTTCGGTGCCAAATTTCGGTGCCGTTTCGGCACCAAATGGACTGACTAGTCCAGTAGCAAATTTTGGTATCGAAAGGTTTCGGTGCCGGAACGGCGTCAAAACGGTGCCAGAACAGTGCCGAATTTTTTCGATGCTAAAACGGCGTCGAATTATATTGGCTGTGTAAAGCATGTGGGCGCAGCATCCACCTGAGATTTTGAAAATAAGCTTGCACCGACCAGAAAATCCATTTGCCCAAAATGAGAAAAATCATGAAGATATAGGCATATTTTGGCCAATTTTGGTCTCAATGGACTAGATGCGAGTAGAAATGATCTTGATTTACATCATTAAATATTCAAAATTCAGTCAAAGTGATGTCATATTTGAAATCTACATGTAAAAATACATCTAAAATATGGTTTAGCAAATTGTTTATCAACTTTGTGAAAATTTAATCTTTTTTGAAAATGTGACTTCTAGCTCGGGTTGATTCCCCATAGACCCTATATTACAAAATCACAAAAAGTGAAATATCTTTTCTTGTATTGGACGTATAACATTTTCTTTTACTGGACATATTTTAATTTGCATAACTATTCAATACATAAGGGCTATATGAAAATTGAACCACCAAAACAGATGTAATTTAAGTAAAGGGAACTTTCTCCTATATCCGCCATGCTATCTGACCCGAGCGAGCCACCTGGTGGTGAAACTGGTAACTACCTACTCGCATTTGCGTTATTGGGACATTGAGAATTTTGCACCCACTTAAGAAAAAATCCTGTGGAGACCCCTGAATTAAGAATTTACAATATATTTAGGAACATTTGACATCATGATAACTCTAAAGGTCATATAGTTAACTAGAAGAATATATCCATTTTTCATATGGTACTAATTAATAACTAATGAATAATACCAGGGCTTGCATTAACGGCGTCCCGTACATGTTAAGGACTCAAAAATAATTTGGAGGACGCAAAAATTGAAAATATTTCCGTTTTTTGGACGCAAATTTTTTTTAGGTCAATACTACAATGTGTTTACAACGATACCCAACATAAACAAATAATTATGATCTCTCACCTTTATTTGAATCGTAAATAAGGCTCAACATGTTGAATATTTACAAATAATCATGATTCTCTCGAATTTTTTCGACTTTGTTTATTTTTAGATTTGAAACCATGACACGCCACAGTTTTTCCTATTCAGAAACAAATATTAGATTATTCATGAAATAAAATGTATTCATTGTCGAATGAACGAACATGCATTTATTCAGTCCGTACTTAATGTTTACTTCCGTTTTAAATTCGTGGCAAGAAATCAAAAACTGAAAATAAGGGACACACTTTTTTTTCAAAGGACACACTTTTTTTAAAAAAATTGCGTCCTTGGGACTCACAAATTTTCTAATCTAATGCAAGCGCTGAATACTAATTAATTTTTGCTGAATTTTCAAAGTATTACAGAGTAGAAAAAAATCTCTGAAGGCAGTGACATTAGTGAAATTCCTTTTGTCTCTGGACATTTATTTAATGAAGTTGCATTTGTTTAAGAAAGAGATTCTTGAAAAGGGTTAGTCTGTCAAGGACTACTTTACACATGTAAAAAAACATATGATTATCCAGTATATTGATTCATAATGTCTAACAATCTCTAGTGAAAATACCCCAAAACGGCTTTGATAAAATGCATTTTTATGTCCCCACCACATAGTGTGGGGCCATATTGACGTCCTAGGCGCGTCCGTCCGTCTGGTTGTCTGTCTGTCTGTCCATCTTAACTTTAACATCTTGTTCAGCTCACTTCATTCTACATCTGATTAGGTTTTGGACCTGTTAGCTCAGTCATGTCAGCCATTTTGAATGTCTTAAGAAAAGTTAGCGCGCGATAATACTTTGTGTCATATTGAATGGTGTTTTCGAGTTTTCATACTTTAACTATTTAGTAGCTTTATAAATAATTTCAGGTGTACTTTGTTATAAAAGCCTGTGTTATTGTTAATTGTAGTTATATGTGATAATTTTGTAAAAGGAAATCAGCAAAAACTCATAATCACTTTTTTATTGTCTGCCATTTTGGTTTTTTCGATACTAAAATCTTGTCTGTAAAGTCTTGTCTTCACGTTTTCAGGTGAACCGTTTGGTAGATGAATTTCAAATTTTCAGGGATGATTTTCAGTATGAAAATCTAGATCTGATCAGTTTTTTGGCATTCTGGGTAAATGCCAAGGCAGCCATTTTGGATTTTCCATCTTAAAATCTTGTCTGTAAAGTCTTGTCTACACATTTCCAGGTGAACAGGAACCGTTTCGCGTTGTCAAGTGAACCGTTTGGTAGATCAATTTCAAATTTTCAGGGATGATTCTTAGTATGAAAATCTAGATCTGATTAGTTTTTTTGGCGTTTTGGGTAAATGTCAAGGCAGCTATTTTGGATTTTCCGTCCTAAAATCTTGTCTGTAAAGTCTTGTCTACGCATTTCCAGGTGAACCGTTTGTTAGATCAATTTCAAATTTTCAGGGATGATTCTTAGTATGAAAATCTAGATCTGATTAGTTTTTTGGCATTCTGGGTAAATGTCAAGGCAGCCATTTTGGATTTTCTGTCCTAAAATCTTGTCTGTAAAGTCTTGTCTACGCGTTTTCAGGTGAACTGTTTGGTAGATCAATTTCAAATTTTCAGGGATGATTCTTAGTATGAAAATCTAGAACTGATTAGTTTTTTGACATTCTGGGTAAATGTCAAGGCAGCCATTTTGGATTTTCCATCCTAAAATCTTGTCTGTAAAGTCTTGTTTAACTGTTT